CCCCCCCACCTCCTACACGGAGAATCCACGTTGAAATGTCTGCTAATTAGTAAATACTCGTCTGGGAGAATAAGAGTCTCGGCCTGTACATCGGCTCAGCCGGGGATGCCTTCGATGCCAGATACGCTTTCAAATTGTATTGCGCTCCTTAATGGGAGTGAAGTGCTAACCATCCTTGAATATACTCGATTGACCTGAAACAAACTTTTTTTTGACCGTTAACGTCCACGAAGAGGGGGTTATTCTTTGGGTGGAACTGAAATTTTCAATAGTAACCTATGGGAAATTCTACCACAAACAAATGAACCTTTGGCTTCCACCTTTCAGACCCCACGGAGGTCTTTGAGCTCTTAGTTTTTTTTTTACTTTTTTTGAGGAGTAGCAAAAAGTAAATTGAGAGTACGTGGCCTGTTTGTAATGAGATGGAACTTTGAGAGATTCCATCTCTTTAACTTTTTTCTTCTTAGACGTCACTGCTCACCGCTAACGGTAATTAATCGAAACTTGTATGGGGTGGGGGACTTTATAGCCTTCTTCTATTTTCAGCTCAGCTAAATTTTCAAATCGTATTTCACTCGTAGTGTATAATATTTATAATCTCACGTACCCCCCAGTATTTCGGGGCCTTCTTCCTTGATAATCTCCTGGGAGTGTAATCTTCGGACCGGAGTTGAGTACGGCAGTCAAGGGGCAGGTGATTCTGTTTTCCCACTTTCATCAGTCAAATCAGCTGTTCATTGTGAATGGGTAGGAGTCGATTTAAACCCCCAGATCACTTATGAGCTATTTTTAGGTACATAATCCATATTGCGGTTGTAACCATGCCTACAAGCACTGCTGTGGTCACTATGTTCAGGTAAGGAGCAATTTTGCATATTTGCTTTTCTTTTTCCCCATGGACCTTTTTGTTCATTCCCGATTATCTACGCCATGTCCACTTACTTTTTATCCCCATCATATTTCATCCCGTTCCTGACTAATTGCTAACTTCCGGTGCGCTCGCCATGCAATTTTTTTCGACGCTGACGCTTGCTGTGATTGCAACGTCACATGCGGCCGCTGGAAAAGGTTAATGGGCTCGTACGAGACCGACGATTTCGAAGATGATGTTGATTTTCACTGGCATTTAAATATTTCCAAAAAACTGTACCTTTTTGGGGTCTTTTGCCGTTCTTTCCCGGAGTGTTCTCAAGAATATCGTTTATTATCTCAGATAAGCAGTATTCACACCCCAACACCTACCGGAAGTACCGTAACGATGTTCCGAAAGGGGTTTTTCATCATCAAAGAGAAATCCCGTACAGTGCCTACGCGATCATCTCTCCCACCAGACCATAAAGGGATACGGGCATGGGGATCGATTGATGAATGACGGTGATGACGGTTGCGCTCTCAAGCTCCCGACGACGGCGACCACGTTCGCACATTCCCACCCGCTCCCATCACCTCTCTTCAGTAGACTTTCCGGCGGCAAACTTAGCTCTGTTGCAGGTGGTATGGGCAAAGACGAACTTAGTCGGCTGCGGTTTCGCCAGATGTCGTGATGTGCAAGGAGTCCTCGGCCATGGCCATCGGAACGTCTTCGTGTGCCACTACAATCCACAAGGAAACACGGTACTCGTCACTGGATCAGGACAGCTTTACGCGGTTGGTAGACCCATACCCCTATTAACATTAACCCTTTCTGAGCTGATTTTGGTGGTTTGTGGGCGATGACGTTACTAGTTAGGACTAAGCGACGTCATCGCCTTCAATAGGTGCCATTGCGCCAGAACACACTTACATTTACGGACCCTGGCCATTAACCATCCCAACTAACGTGTCTGTTTCGCTTGGCTCAATGAATTCTGGTGAAAACTAATACTACCTAATTGAAACTTATCAAATTCATGTATCTTTTGATAGATAGATGACCCAAATATTCGTACCGAGGAATGTTTAATAATTTCTTGATACCATGCTCCGTTTCGTAGCGCAGCGATTTGTCAATTGAGAGTCGCCAAAGGTCAACAGCTGCCGTCAAAGTGCTGAATGGTTCGAAGGCCATATAGTCGAAAAACTGCATTCGTTTTTGTAAGATTTGGACCGATCAAGCTGAATTTACATCTACGAAGGGAATTCGGAAAGGAGTTAATGTTCGAGAAAGGGGGCATATAATCTGGGACAGAACTGGAACAAGCCATTTTTTTAACCGGCGTACCTCGGGCTTCAATACAATTTCTCTGACAACTTCCTGATTTTTTGATCTTTTTTTTCTTGGTATTGGCTGGAAAATTTTTTAATTGCGTCTATAACCGGCAACAAAAGAGTTGGGATATGGGGTAATGGGGCATCCACCGTAGAGCTCCAATTTTCGTACGCTCGGGCCCTCAAAATAGCAGCACCTGGGGAAGAAGTGGTCGATGGAAGGTCATCGTTGCGATGCAAGGTTGGGCACTGCGATTACTTACCCCACCGACCATAGAGGGATTTGGGCACAATGACCAATGGGTACTGTAACCGAATAATTTCTCTGACGGGATTTAGAAAAAGCTTCTAAAAATTGAATAAAAGTGAATAGAAGTCAAGGGAGGTAACGTGAAGAATGAAGTATGATCCAGTCGTCTATCATAATAATGAATGCATCCTTGCTCATTGATTATTATGCTTGATTATATCTGCTTTTCGACTCCGCCTACCACTTTTCCGAAAAGTTTAGAAAAAAATCAGATTAGAATAAAAATTTTAGGATTTTTGGAAAAAAAAATATAGAAAAAGGCCGAATTCCTGCAGTTAAAACAGAGCGCAAAGTGAGAATTCAGCGTCATGGAAATTCGGCTACTTAGTAGTAGACCGGTATCCTTTTACTCAACCGTGTTCGGAATTAAAAAAATGATTCCCTATTGTAAGGGTAAAAGATAGATTAGGTGTTGTAACTGGTAGATTTACCCTCCCATCAAGAATAAGTTTGGTTCAGGAGTAGTCTGCATGGTTTCCCAAAAGAAGGTATGATAAGAAGGAAATAAACGGTCGAAGTAACTCTCCAAGGACGTTGAAATTTTCAAAAAATATGTCTTTTAGAGTTTTGACTTGAGAAGTTCAGTCACTGCGCACGCTTGGGTAGCTATTAATGAGTCGGTGACCAAAATTTCATTTCATTTTCATAGCTGACCCCCTCTGGATGTTTTTGTCACCCACAAAATTCGATTTTTTTATTGATTTTTACTGAAGAGTGGCAAATTCCCGCACCCGCCTTTCTATCGCCCATTTTTTTCAGTTGCCAGCATTCACATGGGCTACCGGCAATAAAGGTCCCTGTTCTGACTGTCCACCATCGGCACCGGCATGCTTCCAAGGACTTTGCTACATGCCATCTGAACGCTACAGTGCTATGGCAGTCGAACACTACACCTCTACTGATCGAGCTGTCACTGAATCGCCCCAGTTTACAGAGAACACCGACTCGACGACGGATTCCACGCCATGGACAGACTCGAGCAGCTCATCCGATCCAGGTTTCTGAGCGAGTGCTGTGATGCGGCTCTCACCTGTACGCCGGAAGTCCTTTGCCATACGGGAAGCAGCCGTATTCTTGACCAGCTGCCACAAATATATTGTACTGATCTAGACATATTACTGCCTCCCATTAGGGGTTAATATTTGCAATTTATTGAAGACGCAGTCATTCACATGCGGGTTGTTGTGTCGGCAAACTTGTCGATAACGCGAATGTTGTACGAATAAATAGTTTGAAAGTTATATTTTGATGTTTTAAAATGAATATTTGTGCTAATACAATCTATATTGGATTCTGCTTGTACACTAGCTACTAAGAATCACTTGTAATGAATTATTTCTCAGCAATTGAGCAAGTGAGATCTCGCCTGGTATCGGCCATGTTTTCCATTAGACCCCTGAATCACTGACTTAGTTTTAGAATCTTTAGAACACAGTGACTTGTACATCGGCTGGTAACCGAATTTACTGTGTATGTAGACAAAGTACGCATTCAAATGGCCTACAATTTTGGATAGAGTCAAGGATGTAGCGCATGCTTGGGATAGATTGGCTGCTTTCATAGTGCGCCGGCCGGCCGGGCGGCGTGCCACGAGGCTGTGCTAGGGGGGAGGAGGGCGGCAGACGGTCAGTCAGCCCTTCGAAAGGCTGTAAACAAGGAGAGAAAAGATCAAAAACCATTTCTAAAAGCCTCTGGTTGTTTTGGTTTGATTGTGTTCTTCTTTGTTTTCAGCCCTTCGACCGACCCTCTGCCGCCCTCCTCCCAAGCAAGTATCGCGATCTGACCCGCGCCGTCGCATGCGGCGGGTCAGCCCGCGATACTTGACAGACGTCGCAGCTGTAAGCGGGGCATACGATTTGTGCTTTCTCCACGGNCCACGGTAGTCAGCCAAAGAGAAGATAACATAGATGCAAATGCAAATCGTTCGCTCCATTCACACTTGGTGGTACTGTAATGTCATCTCGAGTCCTCAAAGGTGTGCGCCGCGCGCGAAGCGGTCGGGGTGACCTACTTTCGACGGACGCGCGCAACGGACCTTCGTCATTCTTTCAGGGGGCCACTCGAAAGAATGTCTTAATAGGTTATGGTAGATCGTTCCCGAACCTGTACTTTAGGGAGTTATACAAGCATGGCCCTGAAAGTGTTTCGCAACTATGGCTTCAACATTCAAATGTCGTCCGAAACTGTCTGAGAGCTATCGTCCGAGCAGCAAGTGAGCATTCGATCCATTATGGATTCCTCACATTAAGTTTTCGCCCCTCGAGCTGCAGTGCATCGGTGTAGAGCCTGAATGAGAGCTTAACCGAATGGACGAGTTTTACAACTCGCCTAATCCCTGCGCTACTCCCAGAAAACATGCTTTTTTCGGGAATGTTGTCTCTTTACCGTAGGTACAAAAAGATGGAGTGTTGGTGGGGGAGGGAGCGCACGCGCATAATTTCCCGTCCCCATCGTTGCCACTGTCTTCAGCCCTTCTAACTCATACTCTACATTTTGAAAGACCATTCCGGTATACGATTCTATCATTTCGTATTTGGTATCACTGTCCAGTCAATGATAATGAGAATGTGAAAAACCTGAAAATGACAATGCTTTAGGAAACCATTCCTTCCGAGTGGATAATCTGGGTAGGAACTCCCTAGGCAACTTTTTCGGAGACCATCATCTTTCACTCTCTCCTGCAACTCCGTTCCTGCATTGACACACCCCTACAGCTACTCGTTTGTAAGAAGATTTATGACGCATGGCAGAATTGTTTAGTGCCCGCTACGAAAGGCTACGACGAATGTGTGGTCGAACCTGAAAATGTTGTGAGGCGCATCCGTTCTTTGGCGACGATGACCTTCCCAAAATCTGGAACGGAATGAACAGCGCACTCCTGCAGGTTTCTGTTGGTAGCGGTCTGCAAGTGCGCGCAATTGCCACCTCCTGTCTTCTAGAAAAACCGCTGGAGAGTTACTTTGAAACCGCCCAGCACCGATCACTTCACCGACTAATGACAATTCAGCGGTGGCAGTCAATCTCAGATTCACGCAATTCTGTCATCCTATGAGGATAAGGTATTGATGATCCATTGGCTTCCTCCAGCCACTGCATAGCCCTAATCTGAGCTCACGACAGCTAGAAGGGAGACGGGCGTTAGGAGCGATTTTGGGTAATCGATTCGCCGCACGCGGCTGTCGCGGACCACTCATTCGCCGTTATTACAGCTCTAGCGTTCTTCATACAGCTCAATCGATATGCGATCATTATTTTATGCATAATTCTACTATTAGTACTTTTCTTCTTGTATTTCTTACCCACTGCTGCATCCTGCTACATTCCTTCGCGCGCGACGCCCCGCTCATCGCGACGCGACCATTTCGTTCCCAACGCACCACACCCCAGCTAGAATGTTCGCTGAGACGAGCAATCGGGCTATATAAGGAAGTACATAAAACTAGTGCGAAGAAGAAACAATTGAAAACCATGCTGACTCACTTCGTCATAATGNAATCTGAGCTCACGACAGCTAGAAGGGAGACGGGCGTTAGGAGCGATTTTGGGTAATCGATTCGCCGCACGCGGCTGTCGCGGACCACTCATTCGCCGTTATTACAGCTCTAGCGTTCTTCATACAGCTCAATCGATATGCGATCATTATTTTATGCATAATTCTACTATTAGTACTTTTCTTCTTGTATTTCTTACCCACTGCTGCATCCTGCTACATTCCTTCGCGCGCGACGCCCCACTCATCGCGACGCGACCATTTCGTTCCTAACGCACCACACCCCAGCTAGAATGTTCGCTGAGACGAGCAATCGGGCTATATAAGGAAGTACATAAAACTAGTGCGAAGAAGAAACAATTGAAAACCATGCTGACTCACTTCTTCATAATGGCAAAAAAGTGAATCAGTAAAGTTGCTCCAAATTGATTTATACTGGATTCGTAATGACTCAGAAACAGTCGTAGAGACCCGAGACATCTAATGGGCAATGATTCACTCCCGTTTCGGAGCGATGGAGCGGTCATAAAACCAGGAGCTGTACCACCTACTGTAGAAGAAAAACTCGGAAATATCCAATACGACCGGCCATTTGCTTTAACAAGAGAAATGGGAACCTCTTTCATCGATCAATTTCTCAGAAAACCCTTGAAACCCTTAATTCTGAATAAACTTCAATTCATTTCCGTTCTATGAGCAGGGATTGCCTCTAAAACCGAAACGTGGCCTTGAAAGTGTCTCAAAAATCTCTCGAATAATTGGCGATTTGCTTAGGCAAAAAGGAGGTCATTTTCATCACACGTACTGAACACTGCAGTTTTTTTTTCAAAGGATTTTCAAGGTTTCGAAGCGATTTTAGAAAGCACCCCGCCCCTTGGAAGATACTGACCAAGCTTTTCGATTACTATTCACTGAATCGTTGAAGCAGATGGCATTCTCTTACCAGATGAGGAGACAGCGCATTATTACCATACAAGTAGAAGTTTGTGAAAACATTATTACCACTGCGCGGCTGTAATCTTTGAACAAGTGGATTAGCATTCAGAAAAGGCGCATCCCATCAAGGAGTAGAACCCGCTCTGATTAGAATCCGATACATTCAGTAGGAGAACGTCCGTTGCGCGCGTCCGTCGAAAGTAGGTCGCCCCGCCCACTTCGCACGCGGCGCACCCCACTGAAGCCTCAAGATGACATTACAGTACCAATAAGTGCCAGTGGAGCGAACGATTTGCATTTGTCCATGTTATCTCACCTTTGGCTGACTGCCGTGGATCAAGCGCAAATTGTATGCCCCACTGACAATTGCGACGTCTGTGAAGTATCGCAGGCTGACCCGCCGCATGCGACGGCTACCGCGTGATCTAGTTTCGACGGACGCGCGCAACGGAGCGCACCCCTACACCCATAGCCACTATGTTCCAAGTGAGATAATGCCGTTAGACTGATGTTCAACTTGCCACCTGTTCGAACATCTCACCATCAGTTGAGAATTCACAGAACGTTGTCGTAAAAGAAATAGATCGAAAAGAAAATATGCTCAGTGGACAAACACCTACCTGCTTCACGCAATCATGTAAAATGATAAAAAAGCGAAAAAAAGGGAGAAAAGAAGAAAGAGAAGACAGGCAGATCATTCTGTTAACAGTTTTTTCACAAAAAAAGCATTGGGCATCGATAGTTTATACAACAATTCCATAAAAATCACCATAGAACGACAAATGATAACAGATATCAGCAGTCATGTGGTTAACATTTTCAGTTGAGGCGGTAATGAGAATCTCGAAACACTTTCCTCTTTTACAGTTAAGACAGACCCATAGTAAATTAACGGTATAGCAAATAGGTACTATGACCTTTCTAATACGTAACCTTTCTGCCTACCCTCTACTGCTCATTTTGTCTCCGTTGTGTAATTGTGAAATTCTGCGCAGTGTGGGGACATGAACGGGAACGGGAAGTGAATACCTACATTTTGGATTTGCTCAAATGTCTAGAAGGAGATCAAACGCGAAAAGACCACATCTCACTGGAAGAGCGGTACATGTCGCCTTGAAAGCATTCTCTGCCTGTTCCGTCAGATCGGGTGTGGTGCATTAGGAACGAAATGGTCGCGCCGCGGTGAGACGTCGCGCGCGAAGCAATGTAGCAGGATGCAGCAGTAGGTAAGAAATACAAGAACAAAAGTACTAATAGTAGAATTATGTATAAAATAATGATCGCATATCGATTGAGCTGTATGAAGAACGCTAGAGCTGTAAAAACGGCAAATGAGTGGTCCGCGACAGCCGCGTGCGGCGAATCGATTACCCAGAATCGTTCCTAACGCCCGTCTCCCCCGCCAGATCCAGTTGCGGATTTTTCGTGTGCGGCAAGTGGCGGGTTATAGCAGCACGAGTTTTTCGTCACATCTTCTGGGCAAATGAGCTACTTCAGACCCATCAGTCTTGGAATGAACGGCACATATTTGCTGTTTGCAAGTTTTATCCCGCTTTATTTTGATTTCTTCTATCAGTGTAAGCTACTCTGCGAAATGTGCTTGGGAACATGTACACGGATCATCACAAACAACCAATTAGTATACACTCATCAGCTTAAACAGAAGACAGCCGGTAAGAATGAAGGAAGTGGGAAAGGATCTCGGTAAACTCTGAAACGACTGAGCCCCTCTTGGAGCTCTCACTTCCGAGACGGCATCGCAGCTGATGCGCACCAGATCTTGACAGATTATTTTTCATTGAATTCATGGACAGCGATGGACAGTCTCCTTCAGCACTGCGTTCACACTTGGATAGGTACAGCCCACTATGCCGCCCTAGCCTGAGCTTATACAGGCTCCGGTGAATTACAGGATATATCCAGATGTGATGGTGCTGTAGACAATGTGACCACATCACGATAACCATTCATAGACACACTGAAAATCAATAATCGATTGGAGAAAATAACGGGAAATTCTAGAAAATTGTCTCAACCTCATGTGAAATGGGAAATTTGTGTTCCTAAGTGAGCTAAGAGCATCCTGTAGAGTCGGAAAGAACAGTGATCGAGGAACCAGAGCGTAGAAGTTTGTTATTTCCAAAAAATCGCGTATTTTAGCTGAAAATCGGTTTTGACTGACCATTGCTGATAGCTGATGATAAGTGAGAGTAGAAAATTGCTTCGTACCGTTTACTCCAGCAAATAGCAATCTGATACTGTCATCGCGGAGCTCGGTATACACCTGAAATCAGTCCTTTTTTTTCTAAATATGATTTTAATCGTTACAAACTCCACTTTCTTAGAGGAATTGTTAGTAGGGTCTTTCTAGATTTTCTGGAAAAGCATTACTACTTTTATTCTAATTCTATCCTATTGCTATGCAGGGGAACAAGCTCTCTCGGTTGACCCAAATTCTCTAAAAGCACAGTTTACGATAATTTTGAGGAACTATTTTTTAATTGGGGTAGAAAAGTGAAACTGTTAGCGGGAATTGTGCATCGGTGGCGAAAAAAGCGAGAAAGTCCACCGACTTGGCGAAAAAATAAGGCTTTCCAAAAGGAGAGAGAGCTCGTACGAGATTACCATGACGGAAATGACATGGAAGGGCTATCCGGACGAGATTTCAGTTGTTGCATTTGCGTGAAGAGCGGACTACATTGAGCCGAAACTATTTGAAACTGTCTTCCACTGTCGCCATAGGCCACGACTGGTCATTTGAAGTGCCAACATGGCTGACCATTGTGAATGGTGCAGCCTCTACACCCCGACAACACTCGTCCACCCCAGACGAGGCATACAGCCGACACAATCATTGAGCCATTTCAACGTCCTATTTAGGCCGATTTCCGAACTGATAGCGCCACATATGGATTGCCCAAGTTGGGTCACTTCCCTGCTGAATTTGACACCAGGACAAAGGAAAAAGTACCTGAGAGAGCATTTTGACAGCTTCAGGATCCACAAAAGCTACTCCAGAGCAATCAAGCACTATACATTTGAACGTCGGCGATTCTGATGGATTCATCTGGAACATAACGGTGGGATCAGTAACAAAAATGAGAACTGCGAGCGCGTACCTGCAGAGGATCCGGATCGGAGTCATGGGTGATGATGATCAGGCTGGCCCGTCCTGAGACGCACTCATTGACGGCCATGAGTGGTTGGCTTCTCATCGACGGTGTTCGACTTTCAATTCCTGTTTCGAACAATCTGGAAAAACCGAGAAAACCTTACATCAGGTAGTAGGAGGCGATGAGGAAAGTCACACTGACCCTTTCACAGCTGCAGCTTGTTTTGAAATTTCCTCGCGGACACTTTCACAGTTTGCGAAAATCAGTGGCGAGGTAATACGAAGTATCCGCAGAGGTGCGTCTAATCCTTCGCATTCATACCTGAAAGTCTTATTGAAGGTAGGATTGCGGTAGAAACGTTGAAGCAGTCGTCTAATAGTGTACTTCTCCTGCATAAGTACTTGAGTGTGCCAGAGGGTGTGGTTACTTCTGCCTGAAAATCGCGTCGCGCTCGCTGCACCGGATCGCGCGCAGTCGCGCGTCAGGAAGAGAAAGGTCTGAACCCCCACTGCAACGGTACGGTAGCCGCCGCGGAACCTTTGCCGCTTTGGAAATTCACGAAGAGGCAAAGCCACACCTTGTCAAGTTTTAGTGCTTCAGTTAAATGAGGGCGGCGTGAAGTAGTCCCACCTTCACATCTACGCATTTTGCTATTTAAAGACAAAAAAATAGCAAAATCTTACCTGTTTTCTTCGATGTAGCAATTCTCTGTAGCTCTCACGACTACGTCACATTTGGGCCTGTAAAAATACTGTATAGGGTAGTGGAACTCCACATGACCATAAATGCTGTACAAATATTTATTTCAGAGAAAAATGGAAACTTACTGCAATCAGAAAAAAAGTTTGGTTGGTTCCGGCTCGACTTTCAGACCAAAATATAGCGGGACGAGAAGAAATTGCAAAGAGGACAACATTCGTTTTTGCGAAGGACGAAATTCGTCTCTTTTGTTCAACTAGGCCGTTTCGCAACCGCTCGCGGCGCTTGTATAAGAATCGTACAACCTACTCCTTGCTTTTTGATTAGTTATGGCTACCGGGATCAGTTGTCCTAATTGATAAGTATTTTTATGACTCATTTTTTACAATTGTTACCTTTGTGTCCTTATGACGATGGAGAGTAGACTAACGGCGACTGCCACAAGAAAGGCAAGGCATAGATTGGGAATAAAAAGAGCAGACAGCAGAGCAAATACAAAAATCACCTGAAAATGAGAAATTAAAGGTTTAGCTGCTGTAATTTCAAGGTACTGTTTCTAAGTTGGAAAGCTGGAATGTTGGTAAAAAATAGTGCACCCATGGTGAAGGAAGCGAAAAACTTCCGCCGATTTCGCAGAAAATATGACTTTCTCAAAGTGTGAATAGGGGTTGTACGAGTTTATCATGACAGGAACCATAGAAGGGGTACGGACGAGATTTAAGTTGTTGCAATTCCGTAAAGAGCTGACTATATTAAGCTAGAAATGTTCAGAATTGCTTTACACGGACGTCATAGGTCATTACTGGTTGCTTCTACATCCAACAAGAATGTCCTCTGTGATTGGTGCAGCCGTTCACAGAGGACCCCTTGTTGAAAGTAGAAGCAACCAGTCATGGCAACGCCGTTGAAACTCGTCCGCCCTTGGGCGTGGCATACAGCCAACACAATTTTTGAGCCGTTATGACGCCTTATTTAAACCGTTTTCAGATATGTCAGGGTCACATATGAATCACGAGGGAGCTTCATTATGTGATGAGAAAGGGTGGAGGGGTGGGAGGGGTAGGTAGAATACCTCAGGAACTATTTTCATCATGCGCCGTGACTTGAAACTACAAAAGGAAGGGTGACAATGAATTACAAGAAAGACTAATCAGTAAATTACATAACAAATAAATTAAACATAGCATTACCGCATCACAGATATAAGAGGAGCACAGCACCCGCAGATGTCGCAAATTTAAGCAAACGTCACATACTGCTGATAGGATCATGGCAGCTACAACGCTCTGAAAGTTCGTAGGGATCCAAATGTATAGGCAATGTGCACTATGTAAAAAAACCAAATTATTACCGAAGGAATTAATCCGAAAATCGATCGTGCAAAATACAAAGTAATAGCCATCCATAAGGCTGAGAGAAGGTTGCTTATCTGAAAAATTAGTCAGACTTCCAAAAATACCTAGCAATCGAGAATTGTTGTAGACAACCGAAGCATGAGAGAAAAAATAGGACTTATATTAGTTAATCATCAAAAATTTACAGAATTTTTGAAACAAGAGTCTTTTTACTAGAAGCACGTCTGAGAAACAGT